TGGCAACTGGAGAACGGGACTAGGAAGAGAGGAATGGTGATGAGCTGGGAAGCGACGAAGCAGGACTGGTCTCCGGGTCGCTACCGGTTCCTGAGGCTCCCGAAAAGTGCGTGTTTCTGTCAACCCCCGCTAGAGGGCAAAAAGTCGTAGCGTTTTCTGGATGCATCTTCCCCTCTCTCCCCCCTCCCAAAGGCGGCGCGCTCATTCTCCCCCCCTTAAAATGACGATAAGTCATTTTAACTACGGAGGCTACACGGCGACGGCGGAAAAGGCTCCAAACTCAAAGACTGAAAAAGGAAAAATTACATGTATGAGGCGTTAAAGTGGTGTAAAAGGCGTTTAAAAGGCAAGAGATTGCATTGATTAGGCGTTAAAAGGCGTGGTGTTGGCTACTAGTCGGCTCCCCCCCATGAGGGATTCGTAGTCGGCTTGAAGCTTAGAAAGCTCGCTATCATTTTTGCTGATGAGGGCCAAGGCGTATTCCATGCGTGCGTCTGATTCTTCCTCTGGTGTAGGCTGTTGCGTTACTTGCGCGGCGGTGCTTACTAGCTCTATAGCGATGCATTTTTTCAGCTCCAAATCTGCAGTGTTAGGCGTTGGCAAAGGCGAGAACGTGGGCCATTCTTTATCCGGTTTTGTGAGCCATGCAGGTCCGTGCCACCAAAATTCATTATGCACGATATCAGCAGGGGCGATGCCTCTCGAGCACAAATCAGCAACGTTGTCCTCCGACCGGACATGATGCCAGGTGATTAAGTGATCCAGCTCGCGAATTTTTGCAACTCTGTTCGCCACAAAGGTTTGTAGCTCATGAGGAGGCGTGTTTATCCAATGAAGGACTATTGTACTATCTGTCCAGCAATGGATTTTGGCAGCATCGTAATGATCATGCAAAATGTGCAGATTGGCGCGAAGCAAGGTTTCTGCAAGTAGAGCTCCGCAGAGTTCCAGGCGTGGCAAAGTTACAGGCGTGATTGGGGCGACTCGAGTTTTTGACATAATCAGCGAAACCGAGGTTGCAGGGCTATCTGGCGACGGCGAAGAGCGCAAATACAAAACGCATCCATAACCTTTCTGAGAGGCATCTACAAAACAATGGAGTTCATAGTGAGAGGCGTTGGGCGCAGGAAGGCAACGTGGAATTCTAATTTGGCGTATTTCTTGTAACTCAGTGAAAAATTCTTTCCACCTTTGCGACATCTCCAATGGTACTACGGCGTCCCATGGCTGTTTTAGCAGAAACAAGGCTTTCATGAATAATTTAGCTCTGAAAATGACCGGAGCTAGCCAACCATTCGGGTCATAAATCGAGGCGATCATTGATAAAATTCCACGTTTTGTCTCGGCGTGCGGGCGGAAATTGACTTCATACGAAAATTCGTCCCCTTTCCCGTCCCATTGAATGCCTAATACGGAAAACCAAGGATTTCCTTCCTGCGAAAATTTCAGCTTTGGCGTTTCCAACTTCTCGGCTGGTAGCGTAGACAAACCTTGCGGGTGGCTGGAGAACCATTTGTGCATCGTAAAACCACCACAAGCCAGGAGACCGATTAATTCTTCAATTAATCCTTGTGCTTCTTCTTCTGTGCTTGCTCCAAATTGAATATCATCCATATAGGTGGCGTTTAGAATAATTGCGGCTGCTTTTGGAAAACGATGACCAAAATCTTGGGCTAATTTCTTTAAGGTCCTAAGGGCGTGAAATGGCGAGGATTTGATGCCAAAGGCGACTGTTGCGAGGGCGTAAGTGAGTATAGGTTCGTTTTTGTCCTTCCTCCACAAAATCAATTGATAAAACCAATCATCAGGATGGAGCTCAATCTGCAAATACATCTGGCGTATGTCGGCGGAAATTGCAATTGGATGGCGTCGGAAATGGAGGAGCACATGTCGTATGTCTTTCTGTAATTTTTGTCCGTTTAACAAAATATCATTCAGACTTAATCCAGTGCTGCTTTTGGCAGAGGCGTCGAATACTACTCGCAATTTTGTGGAAGAAGAGGATTCTTTGAGTACACCATGATGAGGGCAGTAATATCCTTGAAAGCTGTCTGTGGGCGATGGGGCTGTCACTGGAATCATGTGACCGGCGTCTTCATAATCTTTCATAAACTTCCTATATTGTTCCGCAAATACGGCGTCTCGATCCAATCTCTTCTCTAAGGCGACAAAACGTTTTTCAGCTTGCGAGCGTGATTCTCCAAGAGGCGGATGGTTAGGTCTGAATGGTAAGCGAACTTGATAACGCTTATTGTCTAGCTGTGTGGTTGTTTGCTTGTAAAATTCTTCGCAATATACTTCGTCTGGCGTTAAATGTGGTTCTGGAGCAAATTCTTCAAGGGCCCAAAACCTTTCAAAATGTTCTGGAATGGGAAGCGTTGCGGCGTTAATTGTAGGTTCTACGAGAGGGCGTGGCTGCGGAG